TTGCTGATGTATTTATACCCACTGAGGTAAAAAAGGTATTGAATTCATTAGCTAATTTCTTAACATCTCCGGAATAACTTGGTTTCGTGGTCTCTTTACGTGGAACGCAGTTCCTGATGACTTTCCACATCGATGCTATATTTGGGTTATTATATATTTCATTGTGTACATAATCTTTTTCTGCTTGGCGTAGCTTACATTTAACTTTATCTCGAAGCGCACGATATTTCTCCCAATCAGATGGCATTCGGGTTAGACGAGCAAATTTGTGTAATCTTTTTCTATTTTTCATCAGTTCTTTGATCTCATCGTCAACAAATGGTACTTGTCGATGTCTTATTTTCATTGTCTTGATTGGTGCATTCCCAGCCAATGCATTTTGAAAATTACTATCAAAATGCGACAGTTTATCATTTACATTTTCAACAAATAAATTCTCATGCCACGGAATACATGCCAAATCACAGAGGAATTGGTTTCGGTCGTAATGCTTATAACTCCTTGCAGTGATGCAAATTGGATGCGGTTTTATCAACTTTAGTTTGAGTGAACACTAAACCAGAAAATGATCACTAATATAGGTTACAAGCACTCCAATTTCTGCAATCAAATCTTTATTTGAAGTCATCATGACATCAATAAGCGTTGACGAACGTGACGTGACCCTCGTCGATTTATCAATTAACTGTGTCAAATTTAAACAGTGACAAAAATCATTCAAAACCTTTGCCTCTTGAGCTGTCTTTAACAAGTCGCAATTTAAGTCTCCAGCAATTATGATATCTTTACCAAAAGTGAGTGCTTTGATATAATTATCCATAAAATTATTGGTAAAACAAGATACAGGACTATCTGGAGGTCGGTAACAAACGCATAATAGAAAAGATTTCAATTTTTTATGCTGAATTTGTAACCATAACTGATGAAAACCAGATTCTGAAATTTCTGTTAAATCCCTAAGCACCTTTTTTTTCAACGAGCTCTTGATATAGGCACACACACCCCCACCGGATCTCCCTCGCCAGTCCAATCTAGATAGACTGTATCCGAAAATTTCAACCTCTTCATTTCTCACACTGGACGTAAGCCAAGATTCCGACACGGCAAGTACATCAAACTTATTTTCTTGCATCAAAAGTCTTATCTGAATTAAATGTTCCCTCTTTTTTAGAGAGCAAATATTTAAATGTGCAATATTAATTTTCGATTTTTGAAGACCACATTTATTGGCTGCGATAGAACTGTTCTTGGACGTAGTTGTATGCTTATTTTGACCAGATGCGTTCATTTCAGGTATTATTTCAATTAGATTAGAGTTATTTGTGCGTGAATTAGGGACATTGTGCCTTGATATACAATTACATAATATCAATCTATAGCGCATAAAGTAGATTGATACAGTACATTTCAGATATTTTGTCCGCTAAAAAACTTCATATGGGACCTTGAGTCTGGTGGAAAAAGTGCTCTCTTCAATTTTACTAATTTTTTTTTATACTCACTGTGGCGGAGGTCCAAATTTCATTTTCGCTATGTCGTTTAGGCCAACTCTCCACAGACTGTCACTTTCTTCATATTTAAAGACCTCACTGTTCTGGGACTCATAACAATGTAACTCTTCCAGCAAGGGCCCAAGTTCGTTCTCAACTTGTAAATAGCTGCTTTCGCAACCCTTACCAACCCTCACACTCTCACAAAACAACCTATGATTAAGAACCACCCACAGTTACACAATGCTGGCTTCATCCCATATAAAAGGTCCCAGGAGGAATAACTGGTCATTTTGACAGTCATAAAAAACAGCATACCACCTTAATCTGCTGATCAAAACTGCAGGGACAATTGGAGCGAGTTCTGGATGTCTTTGCCTCTGCAAAAAGGAGAATGTAACAGCCGTAGCAATGGTTTGGTACAGACTTTGGCCGAAAGTATCTTGCAATTTCCCCTCAACAATTGTCCCTGTTCCTGGTGAATTACGACCATCACCACCACCATGAAGGTCGCTGCCCATAACTGTAAAAAAAAATTAACAGTGGTTACTTACTATTATGTAAAATGTGACCCTGCGGGACGAAAAGTTAATGAAAAGTTCACAAATATTTAATGCTACTCACCAACTGATGTGCTTGAAACTGAAAGAAAAGGTAAATAAATGTAATTTATGACTGGGATGTGCACACAGTGTGGATTATTTATAACAGTCGGTGATCGGTAACAGTTGCTTAACAAAAACACTAAATGGCACATAATTTGTTACCAAAAAGTTTGGCCTTATCAATGTGAGGACCTGTTGACCACAGCCTGAGCCAAGTGCCTGCTTCAGAGTGGCAGGTCGGGTGAAACCCTTGAAACTTTTTCACAACAAATGTAAATGCCCTTACTCTTCTTTCACTTCTTTCATTAAATGTAAATGCCCTTATTTACAACAGCAAATGTAAATTTCGCCGGAATGTTATCCAGATGCCACATCCTCATTTTCTTTAGGATGTTAAATTGCTGTGTTGACTTACTTGACTCACCAAATGTAACAATCATATTTTACAATTGTGTCTAATAAAGATTGTAATGTAAATGGAATCAACCTTGATGCCATGTCCAGTGGTTTCCAAGACATATTTGGGATGTTGTTATAACAAATAAAGAGATATGGGGAGAGCACACCTCCCTGGCGCACACCCTGATAGATAGATAAATAGATAGATAGGGATCATAGATAGATAGAACAATGGGTTAGACTAAATACATGGACACTTTAGTTATATTAAGAACCTTCATTGCCAGCTGTTTTCCTCTCGCTTGACGTACGTGGATAAAAAAGCATGTCAGGCTCACCATACCAGGCTTTTTTATGGCCTAAAAAGAAAGAAAGAATGTCATAAATGAGCATCCCCAAGAATCCCCTAACAACAACCAGAGCAGAAAATAAATATAACCAAGACTTTTCTTGGGATAAACGCTCTGTGCATTCTTTCAGCCAGATCTCTTGTGGTTCAATTATTGGAATAAGATTATTGAAATAATTATTGAAATACGTTTGGCATTGGTAGTTGATTTGATACCCACGCGATTGATTCGTTGTTTCAAATATCCTCTTGCCAAGGAAAGAATTTTATGACACGATCCTTAATATCACACAAGCCTATAAGATACAATTAAAGTAGTTATCAACGTTTCGAGCTGAGGTTCTTTGTCATGGAAAATGGGCCTTTGCTCAAAATGTTGAGAACTGCTTTTGTATCTTATAGGCTTGCTGCGCAGTTATTAAAATGTTATTGTCTATGTTATTGTCCAGGTTTATACAAGAATAATTAACTCTGTGAGTAACACTTTGTACCTACTGAATATTTAATGAGGCAGCACCACTTTGAATGGTAATGGGGAGAGGAGCTTATCTACAGTGTGTATAAAAAAAGGCTAGTCTTTAAAATTCAAATAAGATATAACCTATTGCAGTAATTCACAGTTCTATTCATTGAGGATTATTTGCGTTGATTAGCGAATTACTACAATAGGGTTATAGCTAATCCGAATTTCAAAGACTAGCCTTTTTTACGATACACACTGTACTACCTACATTTAAATCACACTTCAAATTTGGCAAAAAATAAAATAATAACCCACTTACCCATGGCAAGACCTTTTATATTAAGACCTTTTTTTTACAATCACTGGATGGTACATGTATATTCGAGGCCATTGGGTTCTTTTATAGCTATACGATGTCTTTCATTAAACAAACATTCCTCAGCAAAAACGGAAAATATTTCCTTCGCCAAACAGACATTTGAATCAAACTCTGTCAGCTTCCCCTCCTGAAAATTCTTGGCTCGTATGGCGGGTGATGTGTGTCAAAATTAAGTGAAACATTTTGACAATGATCTTGTAACATTTGGCATGCATGTCAAACAATTTGGCAATGATTTGGCATGATTTGGCATCATTTGGCTATTGGTTCTGACTATTTTATGGCAACTGCAAAACATTTGGTGACAATATCAAAATATTCAACAACAAAAATTCGTTTGACAACAATTTATTGCAGTAATACTGCACTGAACTAAAATGTTACCATTTGACAATGACCTCGTGTTTGGCAACAATCATTTCATTTGGCAATATACAATTACTTTATGGTTTCCGTGTTTGGATGGCCTGATCCAAACACGCGGGAATGTTGGGAGAGTTAAGAAAAGCGAGCAAAATCACGAGCCGAAGGCGAGTGATTTTGCCCGCTTTTCTTAACTCGAGCAACATTCCCAAGTGTTTGGATCAGTCCATCCAAACACGGAAAGGATGGCCTGATCCAAACACGGCTTTCGACCAATCAGAATACGTGTTATATACATGTTATTTTATAACAACAATTCCAAAATGCATTGCGAGTTTGCAAATTTAGAAACAAGATGGCGGATCAACATGACGAAGTACGCAATTCAATTCTAACACGCTTGGAAACGCTTTTAAACGATGTTACGGCAGCTATTTTACCAGATAATTTACCAGAACCCCATATAATAGATCACATTCATCGTTGCTCTGAAGCTTTCTATCAATGCTTTGCTGTTCTCTCAGCGCAGGATCCAAATACGTATAGCAGATATCTTATTCAGGCTAGACATTTGGTTGATATTACGGAGCGGTCAGTATTCAATGGCGAAAATGAGGAACCAAGAACAGCAACAAGAATGCCAGTGTTAATTACTCCCGGGAGACCTAAATTTCATATTTGTAGAGACCAATTGGTGTATTTAATCGAGCATAACTTCTCTGCTGTGAGTATAGCAAATATGTTTGACATTTCCTTGAGTACGGTCAGGAGACGAATGCGCGAACAAGGACTTAGCTCCACTCAGCCATTTGCGTCTCTTAGTGATGAAGAATTGGATAGTATAGTAAGTGAAATAAAACTCAGTCATCCACAATGTGGTTATCGAATGATGATTGGGCATTTAAGATCTAGGGGACTGAAAATTCAGCAGGATAGAGTGCGTACATCCTTGCGCAGGGTTGACCCAGAAGGCACAACTGTGCGATGGATGGCTGCTATTTACAGAAGAAAATACTCTGTCAAGGGACCAAATTCTCTGTGGCACATAGATGGCTACCACAAACTTATTAGGTAATATATATACTTATTAGGTAATAGTATCTGGTGGGGAGGGCGGGGGGTTGCACCGACCCCAATACTGATCCAGTACCCTAACTTTGAACCACAGAAATACCATTTCCTGCATTCTGAGCATCATTTGTTCACAAAATTTGCTCCCAACGACCCCAGACTTTAGGCTAAATGCAACTTAATTTAATTATTCCTTGTGTGGTACATGCATGGTTTAAAATTTTAGTGGATAATATACATGTACTTCAAAACAATTAAAAATACAACAAACTAAATCTTTAAATTTAAAACTCTAATATTTTTTGCTTTATCATGACAAAATAGCACACGCCCCTGCGCCCCTCTGGCCAGGGCTAGGCGGTGCACAACCCCGCCCCAGTAAATCCGAGTATTTTATGAGTTTCTTATACAAGAAATGAGTAAAATGCTCGGCAGGATTATGATTTGCATGCATTTGGCGTTGTAAATGGCAAATTATTTAAAATGAAACAAGAACAAGTTGTATGCTAAATTAAGAACACTAATTAAGCGCCAGCACTCTCCCCTTGACAAGTAAAATCGTCTGGCGTTAGACAGAGTGAAATAATCTGGCGTTAAACAAAGTAAAATAATAAAATAGGGCAAATAAGGGCACATTGCAACACAAATGGATCTGATTAGATAAAAGTCGGATTTTTGTTTTGTCTAAACGAGAGAAAACCTGTTTAGATGAAGGCAATACGACTTTTTACCGTGTAATCTGCTCTCAGAATTTTTGTTCTCATGAAAATAAAATCATGCTATTGTCATATTATAAAAAGGGTTATTTAATCTGTTTAACAGTCTAGAATCAATGCAATTAAATAGCTTAATTAATTCTCCATCCTGGCAATGCATATGTGATAGCAGTAGTTTTATTTCAAGTAGTGTTGAATAACTTATTATTCCCTCCAATTTTAGGTGGAAAATGGTTATCCACGGAGGAATAGATGGGTTTTCAAGAGTACCAGTGTATTTATCTTGTTCCAATAATAACCGTGCTGATACAGTTTTCGAACTATTTGAAGAAGCTGTCAATTGCTGGGGGCTTCCATCGCGAATTCGATCAGACAAAGGTGGAGAAAATGTCGAAGTTTCTATGTTTATGCTAACACACCCACATCGAGGACCAGGAAGAGGTAGCATGATTACAGGAAAGAGTGTTCATAATCAGCGAATCGAACGATTGTGGAGAGATATTTTTTATCAAGTAGTTTGCTTGTTCTATAACTTATTCTATCATTTGGAAAGCTGTGACGTGCTTGATCCTGACAATAATGCGCACATTTTTGCATTGCATTACGTCTTCATTCCACGTATAAACAAGTGTCTCGCACAATTTGTACAGTCCTGGAATGCTCATGTTCTTTCGGGAACTGGAGGAAAGACACCCATGCAGATGTGGATCGAAGGGCAGTTGCAAATGGGCTCATCCCAAAAAGGATCAGTGTTTGAGGAGTTAACCGAGGTAATTCTTGAGAAGTTTTTATGCATATATTTTAAATTGTGTATTATACATAATTAATTAAAGCAGTTTTCATAATTCAAGCATCATTTCAAAATTCTCAAAGCAAGTTCCATTTATTTTAAGTACATACTGTATAGTTCAAAGTTGTAAAAGAGAAAACCATTAAAAAAAGACAATTGTTTTTTTTTAAGAATGAAGCTGAAGTATTTGGAATAGATTGGGATGGTCCACTTCCAACAAATTTGTGCAATGGTGCAGATTATGAGGGAAACACTATTGAAGTTCCAAGTGTGGATCTACCATTAACACAAGAACAGTTTCATCAGCTTCAATCCCAGATAAGTCCACATGAACCAGGTTCAAATTATGGAATTGAGATATATATGAGAGTATTGCAGTTTTTATCACAAGTGTAGTAAATTCCTAGAATGCTATGCAACAACAATTTTAATCCAAAATATTAAGGTAATATGACATAACTGTAATGAAATTACTGAGCAGTTACTAGTTCAACATCCAAGTTTTTTTGGATCAAAAATGAACAAAATATGAATAATTTATGAGTTTTTGAATTTCTTTCTTCTCTTATGAATTTCTTTATTGTCCTCAAACTGCCCCAAAGCCTTTGTTGTGAGCACAAGCTTGCATGAATGAATCTTTGAAATTGTCAAGAGATTCATGAGTTTTTGGAACTTTTAACTCATACATGCATGTTTCTGCAAAGAAATTTGACTGATTAACATAGACAACTTCAATTTTCTGAGGCATTCCAAGAGGTGGGATTTCTTCAGCACATGTCATATAGCACATAAACTTTTTAAGACCAGCTTCACCTTCATCTGAAATGTAAGCAGTAAAATATAGAATAAAATATTTATTACTTTAATTAACATGTCTAATTTTTTTAATAGCTTTTTACATATGACCGATGTAAAATTCCAAATAAATAACGTTCCAGAGTTTCACTGACAGAGTCAGTTATTCGTTTGCTTGAAAATTGGATTGCTCATTTGATACATGCAATTTTTAAAAATAACTTAAGGCCAGCACCTGTTTCCAAAAAGTGAATGCAGTCAATCAAAAAACCTCGGGCTTTTTCACACATATCACATTCTTGAACAGCATCAATGTTAGCAAACAGCTCTAGCACTGTTGTAGCTGAAAGTTGTCTCTGCTGGGCAATAAAATATACTTTCATTTCTTCTGGACATGTCCGAATGGCAGAATGAACACCAAGTGCTTTTAAACCCTTGCAAAATTGATCTAAAGCTTCCTTTCGTTTTACCAAAACCTCATGAACGATTAAATTCTGCAAGGCAATATCTCTATTTGATAAGGTAACTGAATCAACCCATCCTGATCTTAGCAATGAATCAATCATGTCATGACTCTGAACTAGCTCAAGTATTTCCTGGTTGGTCTTTGCTTCATTCACCTAAATTTAAAAATGCAAGTCCTCATAAGTACTTATAAACAGAACTGTGCTTACGACTTCCAATTAACATTAGCTAAAATATCTTATTGAGTGTGTACTTATTATCAGCGTGACAAAATTACTGGACGCTGATTGGTTGAGTCCCAGGAGTACAATTATTTCATATTTTCATTAATTGTACTGCAGTACAATTAATGATTTTCCCAAAACAAACAAAATGGCGGAAAGGTATTTAAACACACATGACAATGCTAGAGGAACTTAAAGCAACAGAACTAAATGAAAATACGAACACAAGAACCAAATTGTGGTTGGAAGTCTGCCAGGACTGGGCTTTGGCGAGAGAATGTGATGACATTGAGAATTATCCAATTTTGTGATGCTAAGGGACCGGTCATTATTTATGGAAGGGGGGGGAGGGAAAAAGTGAGGGGGGCCAAATGTATAAATAAATGACTAGAAGGGGGGGGGGGCTATTAAATTTTTCAAGAAAATGAGGGGGGGGTTGCAATTAAATTTGAAGGAATTTGCTTAATAAGCATGGTATCCATTTGGTTGTAATTGCGACTAAATCATGGTCACTGGTGTGAAATAGTCTGGATTTATCTTGTCTTCTGTGTGCTGTATGCAAATCAGTCTTTACTGATTGCAGAGATAAATGGACAATGTGTTATTACATCAGACATCTTGATGTGGTTAAATACATTTAGGCAAGGTTAACAGCAAATGTATTATGCAGGCCACATCCACTGAAGGGAGTATGTGAATCTAAAGGGGGTTGTTTCGCACCTTGTGATCAGTGCTTCGGTCTGGATATTCATTCTGCCATTGTATGCTTTGCCTAGCTGCAGCAAGTTTAGCACTTAGATACCTTTTCCCTACCCACCTACCCATGTTTATTCTAGAGGATTTTATCTGGTAGTATGTCATTTTATTTTATATAATTTTTAATCTCACATAAAATAGGATGTATAGACCACTATACACAGATCTGCCAAGGTTCCCGCATTTCGTGTGAAAGTTATGCATTCTGCTTTTATTCCCGCTGTCCCGCACGCATAACTAAAATGATCTTAAAGTTACGCATTTTTACCATTATATGACGCTATCCCACTTTTCGTACAATAACTCATTGACAACGCTGTGTGCAAATGTAGAATTAGAGTTAACAATCGACCAACCAAATAAAGACGTTCAGACGCATTGTGGCCTGGGGGTACATGGACAAATACGCTTTCTGACAATCTGGAGACTTCAAATTTCCAAAATTTTCTCAATTCTCCTAGTCACATTAAACTGTAAGTAACACTGTCATATTGATAAGTAGTTATTTTACTTATCTTCATTGTTAGGCAGTAGTCAGAGGGCAGTAGTAAAACATTGAAATCTTGGGTAGGAAAGACTGTAAAAATGCTATTTCCGACGGTCTAGAGAATTCAACTTTTCAATTTTTTTTGCTCGGCGCCAACCATGATGGCGCCTCGCGGTCGGTCGCAAAATCAGGTGAATCGAAACAATTCAGGCGGTAAATCTAACCCTTCCCCAAGGCAAAGTCCTTGCAACGGCCATGATCACACATTTTTATCATCCGAACTTGGCAGGTCTGTTAATACATTATATTTCGTTTCCACTGACTTGTCAGTGTGACTGGTGCCGGAGGTATGCCTTGGCAGAATGTCCAGAATTGTCATGGCTATCTCTTTTTGCTGCTAATATTACTGATTGTTACTCTCATTGCTACGCAGCTGCTATGGCAATACTTTGTGCCATCAAATCTAGTTACAGCCTTGGACCACAAACGGCACCTAGCTCCAAACACTAATATTAATTCTCTGCCGTTAAACATGGTTACAATCGCCCAGACCAAATGGAAACCTGATTTTAGAGTTATATATGAAAATACCCCTCTTTTAATTATAATTTTCTGCTTGAATACATATTTTTGGACGAGGTTAATATCTTGTCAGCTCTATATTCTTATTTAATTAATAATTGACATTATAACGCCTGGGTATCCCCATTTGTCGAGTAAAAATGGGGGGGGGGGGTCAAAGAAAAATATTCTAATATGTAAGGGGGGCCATCATTAAATTTCTGCTCTTTTAAGGGGGGGGCTTTCAATTTTAAAAATTTAGGAAAGAAAAAATTCCCCCTCCCCCCTTCCATAAATGACCGGTCCCTAATAATAAATAAGTAATCATGCAATGTTGCTCGTAGAAAGAGGGATTAATAGTACTCGTGATGTTTGGAAATTTTGCGAAATTGGACTCACCCCAGCCGCTCCTCCAATTTCGCAAAATTTCCATACACGCCACCGCATGATCACCTTATACTAAGTATACCAGGGATAAGGCGCAGTGAAGTTACTCATTACTGTGCAGTAAAAGTGTCTGACTATTTTTACCTGATTAATCCATTCTTTTGTCTCATGATCTGGTACATCCTCAATGCAGCAGTATTCTGATGCTTTTTCAATATCTTTGGAAACAAGATAATAATAGAATGCTGGACTTAACATTGGGATGCCAATATCCAAATGAATAATGAGATAAGCCACCATCTTTCCAGCCAGATAGTATAGATTTGACTGAATGCCATTGATGTTGTATATTGGCAATTTTCTGGTTTGCTTTCCTTCAAATAGGTTGGCATTAGATGAGAATATTTCTTTACGCAGAATAAGTCCATATTCTCGAGAGAGACCGCCAGCATCTACTCCAGCTTCACCAAGAAATCTTACACGTGGTCGAAATGAATCTTTGAATTTAGGGTTTTTGAATGCTGCTATGCTATCTTCCAGAGCTCTTGATGGTCTATACTGAACTTTTGAATTTCATCAATGGGTAAATCCTCTTTTAATCCAAACATGATTTCTGCAAGATCGGATTCGTCTTGAATAAACTTTGAATGATCTGAAAAATAGAAGACACTAAATAGAACTGATTCATTGTTTGGTTGACAGAATAAAGTAATATTTGTGCAACAGCAATAGATATGCACATACCAGTTGTTGTTTGATCTAGTAAAATATTACTCGCTTCTTCAACGGTTCCACCTTTTAGCATTGCCTCAACCAATACTTGGTTTGGAGGATCTGGAAAAATTTTTCTCAATTCGTCAATACCAGGCTCCTAAAAATCAAAGTTTTACTCAATAAAAATGGTATTAAAATCACTAACCGAATAAATGTGGACAAATGACAAATTAAATAATGAATTGTTTCTTACCATATAAGACACCATAGAGCTACTTCCACTTGTAGAAGGAGATTCAGAATGTGGAAGAGACTCCGGAATAGAGTTGGATTCCTCATCTGATTCACATATTATTTCTGGCTATAAGTGAAAGAATATTTCCACTTATTACAGACATAACTATTATTATATTAATATATTCCACTTATTACAGATATAACTATTAGTATTACAGTGTCTGAAGTTCAAAATAAAATTTTTTTCAGGTTAATTATACATAGAAGAATACCTCGACAGAAAATGATGATTCAGTAATCTCACAGGACCACATATGCCTCCGCATTTGCAAAATTGGAATACTCTTCAAACACAACCTGCACTGTTCACTTGGGCAAGATGATTCCTAAATACACATCACAAAAGAATTAGGAAAACTTTTTACATTTACAATATTACAGTAAATGCAGGGATTTTCTCTTGGGTCTGTTTTTGGAGAGAAGATTGAGTTTAGCTGAACAGCTGGGTGGCTGCACCCCCCTCCCCTTCCAGGGGGGAGGCTGACACCTGTATTCAATAAATGTAGTTGAGACGCAATGTGTTAAAGTATAAACTTTATATAAAGTAACCGGCCGTAAACCTTGTGCCACCTGCGGCACCTCTTGTTTTGCTCATATTTTAGAGAAGAGGGGCTTTGACTGGGGGGGAGGATGGTTGATTTTTTTTTTGGGGGGGGAGTATTGGCTGCTGGAGGGGGCTTTGCACCCCACCACCAATCAACCCCAGTTATATAGTTAAAAAGGCCCTGCTTTTCCAAGATAAACTACAGTCTTACCTCATTAATAGAAGTATTTAAATTGCCCTGGCAGTCGTGAGGAATAACCACAGGTAAATCCTTCTGAATTGGTCTAACATAGCACTTAGCCTGTTGGAGTACCTCTTTTAGGTATTGGATGCTGTAACTGGAGGAACCGGTTGGTACAGGAATCACTTCAAGGGTTTTGCTCCTAGCCCCAAAACCTGTCCGCATCAACTCGATCCCACCTGCATGAGACAGCAATGGGAATTCTTGCAAAAGAATACTATATAAGTCTTCAAATCCCTTGTCTTTAATCTCAACGGTTATCTTTTTCTCACCGAGTCCTGCAGATTTTAATTCATACCTCTCTCAAGGTGTAAGCAAGAGTACTTGGGTTCTCTTTGCGAGGCAAACGAAAGCATGAGTCCAAGTAGCAACTTTAGGTTTCTTTGCACTTTTACCATTCTTCTCGCCTTTTCCACGACTTCTTTTCCCGTTTGATTGTGAAGTACTACTAACGATCGACTGTCCAGAAAACCCAAACAATCGACAGTGCTCTTCCAACGCTCTATTATGTAAATTTGTATTATTGGGAGTATTAATGCGTTGTTGCTCACTCAAGAGAGAGGTTCTTACTGTCGATGAATAAGCTGTTGATGTGTTAGGGGTTCTTACTGTCGATGTGTTAGCTGTCGATGTGTTAGCTGTCGATGTGTTAGCTGTCGATGTGTTAGCTGTCGATGTGTTAGCTGTCGATGGCGAGTTGGAAACTCCATCAATAATTTGAACAATAAGATCTCTGGCTTGCAGAAGGGATGACTGAATTTCATCGGCCGCAGACGAAGCTTGCTGATTATCCGCCATTTTTATTTTTATTACGTAAATATTTCGCGCCATATTTTGGCGCCATTTTAAATGCTGCTGGCGCTGCATCATGGGATTGACTTTGCCAAATTGATTTTACATCAGTAATCGTTGCCAAATTGTAATCGTTGCCAAATGGGAAGCAATACTTGACAAATAGAATTTTATCGTCGTATTAAAAAAATATAATTTTGTGATTGCAAAATTGAGTGTTATTATTGCCAAATGGTTTATTATTGTCTCAAAATATACAAAATAATTTTGTAACCACCTCAAAATTGTAGCAAAAAGTTACTTTATCATTGCCAAATGTGTTAGTATTGTAGCAAAATGTTATGTTATCATTGCCAAATGTGTCATTGAATTTTGACACACATCACCCGCCATAGGCTCGGGCTTCAAAAGTTCCAACCCGCAAGAAAGTCACGAGGCAATCAACAGCAACTTTTTCTTCAGAACTAATGTCCTTATAATCTGGAACGTCTTCCATCGCTTTTTCTAGAACAAACTTTGCTCTCTTAAACATACTCCAGAACTCAATGCATGCTGCTGCGTCCTGCAAATAACACACAGATATAGTAAGATGACTTGGTTGAGCATAATGTTGGTCATTTCAGTGGTACTATTTATATATGTAATAATAATCTTTACTTTCTTTCATAATCTTTTTCGTATAAAATTTAAAGATCATGGATCAAAATGAATGAATGAATGAATGAATGAAAAACATTATTTTACGAGGGTAGCACATAACAGTGAATTCACACTAACAAACCTGTGGCCCTCAGATACAATAAAATATTACAATAATACATACTAGATTAACTAAACAATATATACATAAATAAGATTTCTAAAATACAAAATTAGTAGTTTGAAAATATTGTAGTAAAAGTAGTAAAATGTTTATGTTCTTTCTGATATTCTAAAAATATATTAACAATAGACTGTTTAAATGTTTTGGCTGATGCAATGGATCTTATGTTCAGCGGTAAACTGTTCCAAAGTTTACTTGTGCATGTTGAAAACCTTTTACCACCCTCAGTTTGACGATAATATTTCGGCGTTCTAAATAACAGTCCTGCACCACGTGTGGAACAAGAGTGCACTTCGCTATTCAAAACCAGCAAATCTTTCAGATATTCTGGTCCCTCACCATTAATACGTTTATGCGCCAACATGCACCTCCTGATATCTGATTCGACATGAAAAGGAATCCAATTAAGTTGATTGAATGCATCAATAGACGGATGCCGTGGTTCCAAATTTAAAATTATTCTAGCGGCACGCTTCTGAAGCTTGAAAAGTTTCAATATGTTGTCTTGTCTACAATTAGACCAAATAACACTACAGTACATGAACAACGGCTTGATCATTGCATTATAGAACAAGACTCTTTCAGGAATTGGAAGATATGAGCTGACTCGCTTCAAAATTCCAAGTCGCTTTGAAATTTTCTTTGAAGTAGAATTAACGTGATTATCAAACGACAGTTCTGAATCAACTCCCACACCCAGAAGTTTAGCGTTACTCACTTGAGAAATGTTTGAGCCATTTAAGTTAATATCAATGCCTGTGGCAACATGTACAGTAGAACGTTTCCCACCAACAACCATAATCTTCATCTTATCCGCATTCAGTGGTAAATTATTTAAAGTTGCCCATTCATCGACATTTGCCATTTCCCTTTGTACCTTATTTTGCAGCTCCTGAATCTGGTCTCTATCACTAGATGCAATAACAATGGTATCATCCGCAAATAAGTCAGTTTGTGATTGAGTGTATAAAGGAAGATCGTTAATAAAAATCAGGAACAAGAGAGGGCCAAGAATTGACCCTTGAGGAACTCCATCAGTAATATCCCTAGTTGTTGATGATGTGCCCTTATAATATACATACTGCTTCCTCCCCGAGAGATAGGAATATGAAAGGGATTCACAAGAACGTGTTCTCGCTTACTGCAGGAACTACCTTCAAGATTGTCAAGGTAAAAGGTTAATCATAATTTTAAAAGATTCATGTAAGGTTAACTCAGTAAGAGTTTTTCGGAAGCTGCAGAGTTCATAATAATTAAAGAGCCTAAATAAAACAATTGATATTTACAAAAGAAAATGTATTCGTGATCACTGAAATTGTTTTTGAAAAAAACATTAATATATCAGTATTGTTTTTGTGCAAGATACCACAGTTATTAATTTTAGAAATAAATAAAAATACATTATTTGTATATCAAATAAATATAATAGTGGTGTTTCCCCCCAAAATACAAAAATGACATTAGAAATATCACCATGCAAACATACAAGGAATTTATAACTTTAATATAAATCTAAAGACCCAACATTTCACACAATATTATCACCTATGATTTAATTTTGTGATGGTTTTATAAACCTATGTTTTGATATGTTATTATATTATCACATCTGCTTTTATCAATCACAAAGAAGTCACTGTTCATGTAACCATAATTTTAATATCTTTTTTTCATAATTAACAAATAGAAATTAATGCATATTCCAGGAAAAATTTGAAGTACTTGTATTCATTTCTAGCTAATGAAGCATCATCCAAGCTTGAAGATGTGCTTGTCTTTATCACTGGCAGTGCTTCCACTTTGGCAAAGCAAAATTTCTCGTTTTTGTCCTTTTTTCGCAAAATTTCCTTCCCAAAATTCTAAATTTCCTTCCATTTTTCCTTCCAATGTCAGTTTAAAATAGTATAGTAAATTTTGTATTGTACTGTACTCCCGATGTAAATTGAAGGTGTACTGCAGTATTCAAATAGTGAATCTCTAATTTAACCTGAAAAAACATGTTCTGTTGTCTCATTTTTTGTCTGTTTTCTCGAATGACATAGTACTTGAACGACTTTATGAATTTTGCTTTTGGACCAGGCACTTGTCCTGCACGCTTTCTACACCGTTTGCATTTGAAAACTACTTGAAGCTTCATCTTCTGATGAGCCTGACTAGACGTCGACTCAATATGAGCCATCATAATTTATAAATTACTTTTTTTGGTTTACAAATTACAGTTTCCCTTTTTCCGACTGTTTGTTTTTTAATTTTGGGCTATAAAAATTAAAAACCCGCGAAAAAATTGAGCCCCCGTTATTTATGTACAAGTACTCTACTCACTCACTGAAGACCTGTTAAGTCCCGAATTACCCCCATTCACCCTTGATGGTTATGTAAATATCCGGAGTATTATTTTTATAAATGTTTTTCAACTCAAAAGTTCATAATAAAGTGTTTAATCATTATTAAATTACTAGAAATTATTGAAAAAGTTTAAATTGTAAAATTTCCTTCCCTTTTCCTTCGAAATGGCCGAATTTCCTTCCAATTTCCTTCCAAATCTTATTTCCTTTTATTTTTCCTTCCAAATGCCAAAATATCCTTTTGGAAGGAAATTTCCTTCCGAGTGGAAGCTCTGATCACTGGAGCCAGTATCCCTCCACCTATGGATTTTGAGACAACTCCCACCATTGTCATTGAGTTCCATGATGGAAATTCGCCAAGAGCAAATATGTGCTCAACGACCTTACACACCTGCCCATAGTCTACAAAGGATATGAAGTGTTCAAGGGAAAAATGGATTTGGATATTTTAAATTCCTCCAGTTTTGGTCAAGCATCATAAATGTATTGTTAAACTGTTTGTACTTCACATATAACGTTTCAAGGATATTTGATGGTTTAATTGCGTTCTGTTATTTTTGGGAAAAAAGTATATGCATAATGTGTAACAATTATACATGTTAAATAAAAATTGAACAAAGCAACTTTCAATTGTTCTAGTTGTTCTTTGTGAGTGCAACTTGATTGTGTTTTCAGGCATTATTCCCATGCATATTGCTTACAGCCATATTAAGTTACTTATAACTAAGTGGCAGAAGATAACAATGTTTGATAAACATGCAAGCTTTCTCTCCAGCTGGTTGGGTGATCAATTCCAAGTGTTTGAAGTGCATAGTTAAAATATTGTTGGTAGTCACTGGTTTCATTTTCTTCATCATCAGAATTATCTGTATCGGTGGAGTGAACTTCATATTCGGCTTCTCTCGGATCAGCAGGATTAAATGGTTTTTGGTAATCTTCTGATCCAACTTCCTCTGGCAAAAAGTACAGTTTGTTTGGAATCCCAGCCATGGTTTGGTACCTTGATTTGCAAATATAGTGATTGTTCCAATTACTTTGAACTTGACTCAACTCATTTTCGATTACTTTCTTGAATGAAAACCAAAGGCATTCCATATGCATACTGTTGCTTGTGTCCAAATCAATAATATATGTTTAATAATATATATGTTTAATGTTTAATAATAAATTTTGTCACACACAACAATTATTTACAAAAAAAATGTCAAATAATGTAAGTTAAATAATAACAAGAAAGATAATGTTTTCAAACAAAATAATGAATATTTACTTAAAAGCCTATGTGACGAGGAGGTTTGATATAGGAAACCAATTAGGCTTATTAAAATTATCAAACCCCCTCTCGTTTGAGAATTCACACTAATTATAAGCTTATTCCAAAATAAATAACAATGGTAAGCTTAGTTAATTATACATGGAGCAGAAAAGTTTTTTTAATTTCTTTGTAAAGGAAGAAAGCGATACACTATTCACAATATCATTGTCTAAACTGTTATAGAGAAATGGGCCTTGGTATTTTATAGAGAATTGACGTAGATTTGTTCTAGGAGTTACAGTGTGAAATTCATTTGCTCTTCTAGTATTATAATTATGTATTTGGCTATTTAATAGGAAAATATTTTTAAAATGTTCTGGTACAAGATTTTTTATATACAAAAACATGAATTGACATGTTTGCAATTTACATATGTCACTAAATTTTAATAATCGAAGGTTTTTAAAGATCATGCTTGTATGAGAATCAAATGTACTATTATTCATAATTCTAACAATACGTTTCTGAAGAACTACCAAACGAAACAGGTTGGATGCATACGTAGATGCCCAAACAATATTGCAATATTCCAGGTATGGGTACACCAATGAGTAATACAAAGTAAACAATGATTGTTTCAAAAGAAAAAAACTAGATTTACGTATTATTCCTATTGATTTTGAAATCTTCGTTGACACATGACTAATATGAGATTTCCAAGAAAGTTTGTCATCTAAAATAACTCGTAAGAAAACGATTTTTTCCACTTGATCAATTTCTCTATCATTTAATAATAGTTTCACATCTAATTCCAATAATTTTTGTCTAGGTTTAAAAATCATAAATTTTGTTTTATCCAAGTTTAAAGATAATCTATTTGTCCTAAGCCAAATCGAGAATTTTTCCAGCTCTTGGTTTATCATATTTACCAAGTAAACCGGATCCCTGTGAGAAAAGAACAAACTTGTATCGTCAGCAAATAAGATCAGTTTTGCAAGAGTCGAAACATTACAAATATCATTTATATATATCAAAAACAAAAGACGACCTAAAATAGACCCCTGTGGTACTCCACAGGTTATATTCTTCGAGGTAGAAAATGAATTATTAAACTGAACAAATTGTTTCCGATTAGAAAAATAGCTTTTTATCCAACTCAGCGCTATGCCACGTACACCATAATACTCCAATTTTTCAAAAAGAATGTTATGGTTCACCGTGTCAAAGGCCTTAGACAGATCTAAGAAAGCTCCAACAGCGACTTCCTTTTTATCAATTGCCTCAGATATTTTGTCGTATAAATCAAGAAGGGCTGATGCAGTTGAATGACCCTTTCTAAAACCATACTGATTTGCATATAGAATTTCATTTTTATTCAAATAGTTTAGTATTCGGTTGTAAAATACTTTTTCCAGTATTTTTGAAAACACAGGTAAAATGGAAATTGGTCTATATTTTTAACAAAGGATTTATCCTCAGACTTATACAAAGGAATGACTCGAGCTATTTTCATTTCATCTGGAACAAAACCTTGCGACAAAGATAAATTTACAATATGTGTTAAAGGTCTTGAAATATAATTGATAGTTAATTTGACAATGGACATTGAAATATTGTCATATCCGGCAGCTTTTTCGGATGAGAAAGCTTTAGTTATATTTTTTATTTCATTTTCTGACACCGGTTGAAGAAAAACAGTATTCGAAAATTGCCCAGACAAAAATGACTTAACAGGAACTAGCGATGTTGGAATTTTCCTAGCTAGCGATGGTCCTATATTACTAAAGTAATTGCAAAATTGATTGGAAATCTCAAATGCATCCGACGTTACTCTTCCATCCAGTTTAAAAATAGAATTAATCTTTGATTTCGTATTTTTTCTATTTATAATACTATTCAATATTTTCCATGTTGCTTTCATATTTGATTTATTTTCATTCAGTTTCATATCAAAATAAATACGTTTAGCAATTTTAATTGAATGTGTTAATTTATTTTTGTAGACCTTATATTTACTCTCGGCTATAGGATTTCGGTTTTGTAAAAAAGATTTGTAAAGCTTATTTTTCCTCTTTATGGACTTCAAAATACCTTTAGAAATCCAAGGCTTATAAAATTTGGATTTTCTTTTTATTGTTTTTACTGGAAAATAATCGTTATAAATATTTGAATACATTTTGTGAAATATCATGTACGCGTGTGCTGGATCACCCGAATCTTCTATCGAGGACCAGTTCAAATTCGCTAAAAGTTCCTGAAATTTTTCAATATTATTTGAGCTTTTATCTCGATAAGTTACAGTATCGTCTTTGACTTGATTATTTTTATTTTCGAATACTATAGAAAAGATTGGAAGATGGTCAGATATGTCTGGAAAAAAAAGTCCATTTTTTGTATTACATTCAAAATTATTTGAAAGTATATTATCAATTAATGTGGCGGTATGCGCTGTAATTCTGGTTGGACGAGTAATACGTGGATATAACATGTTAGAAAAAATGCTATCCACAAACTCGCCTGTTTTATTGTGACATTGATAATTCATGAAATTAATGTTAAAATCTCCCATAATATAACAAAGTTTATTTTCTCTCGAAATTTTTTCAGCAATAGTATCAAAATAATGAACAAAAGTATCAAGATTTTGATCAGGTGGCCTATAAATAACTCCGATAATAATATTCTTCCCTCGAGATTTAATCACTTCAATAAACAATGTTTCTATTGAATTTGAATTTGAAAAATTCAAATCATTGCGGCTTTTAATATGCAATTTGTTTGATATATAAATTCCCACACCGCCACCAGTTCTATTTCTTCTATGATTATGAATAAAATTGTAACCGTCAATGCCTGCCAGATTGTCTGCTTCTTTTATCCACGTCTCAGTAATACCAATAACGGAAAATTTGATATCTAAGCCACATAACCAATCAGTAAAGCATGACTTATTTTGAGAGATACTACGAATATTTAAATGTAAAGTTGAAAGGCTCACATTACCATGTTTGCATTCATTTCTAAACATTTCATTAAACTGAT